TCTGTGTTGGGCACCGGAGAGGATATCTGGATACTCGGATATGGTACCATTTTCACTGTATGATACAAAAATAAATGAGGAGACCTTGCTTTTTACACATGTATAAATGACAGGAACGAGTGAATGTGAATATTTGGGTGCTTTGTGTTTATTCAGTAGTTTGTTGCAAAAAATCCACAACATGTTGATTGGCCCATATCCTTACACTAAAGACTTCCCAGGAGGCAAACATTCCTGGGATTTTATTGTGATTTTTTTAACCACCCTTATGAGGGTTGTTTTTTCCGCTGGCAGAGGCTGATAATCATTGCATAGTTATTATGAAGTGACCAGATGAAGGGCCTATTTCCTCGTGGCTTTGGCCGGCTGCCTGAGCCAGTCTGAGGTGCCTCCTCCCAAGCAGCCACAGGGCGTTAGCAGTATTAACTGCAGACCACCACAATAGGATGGGCTTTAGCCGCAGGCTTCAAATCAATAGAACTGTTATTGGTTCAGTTTCGTTTTGCAGGCATGTTTTTCTGAAAACAAATGAACAACTTGATGTTTTACCACTGCAGTACAGGGTAGCCCGATCAGGGGTAGAACAATACAGTTTTCCTAGAATTTTAACCAACAATTAACAAGGTTACTGATATATGTGCTTAATCACCATGCAGTTGAGTTGAATTGTCTTCCATTAGGTCAGCTGACCACCCCTCCCCCCAAACCTAAGGCCTTACTGTGATGGCACAGTGATGTCTTATAGGTCATTGATGAGAAAAAACTTAAATACGTCCAACTGCAGGAACAAGCTACGTTTCACACAGTGATACATTTCCCAATGGAGCAGCTTATATTCCTGCTGAAAAGGGAATAGACTCACTCGAGCAATATTCTCCATAAACGGTAATCTCACCCAATCAGGCTTCCATTAATGTCAATAGAAACAAGCTAAGACTCAAATAACAAGAATTCATAACTGACACTATCATGCCTCTGTTGAGTTCCAGACCTTTGGGCAGATGGGATGTCATCATTAATTAGTTCGATATGTAGCGCCTTTCACAACACAGTTCGCCCAATCCACTTAATGAGAGTGTGCTATTAACTATTAGTTTCTGGATGCTAAATTATACATGATGCAGGGAAAAGAAAGGAAAGAAGAAAAAAGGGAAAGCCGGAAGGCAATCGTGGAGACAAAATCTCCATGCAGATCCCAGCATGTGAGGAGGAAAAAGGTATGGATGTGTAGCAGAAAAGATGTGTAGCAGTAAAGATGTGTCATGTTCATGGTTGGTCTATCCGGATGTGCATCGTGCCATTTCTTTAAATTGGTAGTAATTACCAGCTAATTATCATATGAGGTTTTTCTGTAAAAGGTCCAGCAGTGGTTCTTGAAGGTTATGCCCGATGCTGATTGCGTTTCCCATGTCCAGTTTACCTGAGCTCCACCATTGTCACAGGTCCTCTTAGTGTGGATCCTTTGTCAGAGGCTCTTGTGTACCTCTGCTGGTAAGAAGCGGGTACGAGCAGGATATTGATAGGCTCACACCTTCCCTGAGTTAAGATGCTCAGGACTGGGACTGCAAGGTTCGGTTGGTGTTTGCAGTTTGACTGGGATGCTACTCTGTGCATATGTGTGGGTTATGTATATATTACATTGTGTGTGTGTGTGTGTGTGTGTGTGTGTGCGTGCAAGTGTTTTGAACTTTGAGTGCCTAATATGTAACTAAAAGAATTTAGAACTTTAGAACTTAGTCCTGTACTTAATGGGGAACTAAGAAGGGGATTATGTGTTCATACTATCTGCTCCTAGTGACAATGCTAGTGGCTGCATTTTGAATATACTGTACGGTGTTAAATGTGCAGTGTGTGTTCTCTGACAGCAGAACATTACAGTAATCTACCCGGCCGTATATAAAAGCAAGGATTATTTTCATACCTTCAATACTGCATCAATATGATATTTGAATGAGAGGTTTGTATCTAAAATGACACCAAGATTACAAGCCAAGCTATTGAAGCAAGAGTTCACACACTCAGAGCTGAGTGCAAAAATTATAGTTCCTCAGATGATGCACTGAGATGAACTGATATTTATTTTCTGGTCAGCACATTAACTTGAGCTATTTGTCTACCATTTTCTGGAATATTTTTGCAGATCTGAGAATCAGTTCGCAGTACTGGTCTCTGAAGACCAGCCCCTGCACAGTGCCTAATTACGGGTAATCAGGGTGATAAATTTTGGAAGGAATTATGGGGTTGTAACGCCTCCAATAATCAAAACTGGCTAGTACAACCCCCCTCAATAATCATGCCTTCCCCTAAAAGGGTGGAGACCCCAACCCCCGCAATGTTCAAACCAATGCGATGCCCCTTAGGGTAATCATTTCAGCAAGATGAGCTGCAGCCAGAGAAGTAACTAAAAAACAGATTTTCACAGAGGCCATGTTACACGCAGGCTGCTCCAGTCATCGATGAGTTTGATTTGGTGCAGAGCTCCAAACCGTCATTGCAGTCACACAAAACGTTAAGGCCTTACAAAATCCACTGAGTTTACCTATGAATTATAGGGGGCTGAATAAAAGTTCACTAAAGGAAATGTTTTACATTGCTTTCATACATAGTGACAAACAATAGACAGATATATTTCAATCAAGGGTATAGGTTTGGGTAGGAGCGCGTAGGTTTAGCTAGGGACATGTTGTTACCAATATTGTGGAAGTACTGTGTATTTTTAGGTGACAGGGGACTGGAGCTCATTTAGTCTCTACCAGCCTTGAAACCAAACCTATGGCCATGATTTTTTTACTCAGAAAGTATATTTCCTTCCTGTGAAGTATTGTTTTGTGGTCTGAATTGCTTATTTCTTGGATATCTGCTGGACAAACAAACCACATAAAAGCCTGATTAGAATCAGCATGTGCTGGCCTTCTGACTTGTGTCCTATGCTGCCTAGGCTAGGATCCAGCACCATACCAGTATGTTACATGACACATGTTTGAGACTGTAGCCTGAGACTGGTGATCAATGGAAAACAGGAGAATAACTGTTTGAGATATTATCGGAATGGAAATGTAGGCTAGGATTTCACACATCCTGTGGGTTTTGGCAGGGTAAGTATGGTTTGGCATTTTCCAGCTTGGGTGGAGAAATTATGGTGGATTCTGTTTCCAAAATTTAAACAAATTCTCTCTAAAGGAGGCAAAATCAGGTTCATGTCCAGGTTCATGATTTCTCGGTTTAAGCTTTAAAGGAACCCGGTAACTTTGACCTTTACCCTCAACCTTAAATCCACCCTTAAAAAACAGATACGCGATTTAAATAACAAATACTGCGCTGACACAAAACAGCCTTGACACCTTGTTCTGGAAAACAGTTGTGTTA